GATCTGACGGCCTTTAAAGAGTCCTTGGGCCAGTCCTTTACATATTGTACCCAAGAAAAATGGGGAAATACGACGTCCGTGTGGGGACTATAGACGGCTAAATGCAGTTACGAAACCTGACAGATACCCCATTCCTAGATTGAAGGACTTTACTTATTTGTTGTCAGGTAAAAAAATATTTTCTAAAATAGACAACGCATCTGCAATTCCCCTGGTATTGCGGTTGTTCATGGGCGGCGGTAGTCACTTACCATCAGGTGAGCCGCATGCTCGTTTGCCCCCTCTTCTATAAAAAAAGACATAAATAGAGCCTACCATTTTATTCCTGTAGCTGAGCAGGACATTGAAAAAACCGCGACTATCACACCATTTGGTTTGTTTGAATTTACGCGAATGATGTATAGAATACGTAACAGAGCACAAATATTACAAAGGTTCATGGATACTGTATTTGAAAGTATGGATTTTGTTTATACATTCAGCGATGACGTCTGTGTCAGCAGTAATAATGAAAGACAGCACCTTGAACACCTGGATAAGGTATTTGAACGGCTAAGCCGTTTGGCATCACGATCAACATCGCCAAGTGCACTTTCGGTAAGTCAAGGATAGAATTTTTAGGTTACTAGGTAACACCAGAGTGAAACACACCCCTGCCAGACAAGGTTGCAGCAATCGCAGCTTACCCCGAACCAGAGACAGTGCAGGACCTCCGTCGTTTCCTGGGTAGGGTGAATTTTTATCGTGCTCACATACCAGACGCAGGAGAGTACCAGGCCGAGTTTAACATTTTTTTACGTGGTGGAGCCATGCTGCAGCTATATTACTGGTATAGTTATAGCACGAATGGGTCGGCTCGACCGGGAAAGGAGCACGCTCTCACAGAATACTAGCGTAAAATAGCAGCTTAACGCTGCTGTTTCGTATGGTGAGTGTAGAGATCCGGTGACCCTTTTTACTGGAAACGAGGCATTCCGTCTTGGTCCTCACGGGTGACAACACATCTGCATTTTGATTCGTAATCGAGGATAGATGTAGATGTCTATGGGCCACAGCAACCACTTACCATTAGGTGGACTGTGTGCTCGTTTGTCACCCCTTATCCTATAAAATAAAGGAACAAGTTAGTATCTACAGAACGGTAAGAAAAAAGGTAAGACCCCAATCGTTTGAACAGAGCAGTCTTTAGCCGCATTCGAGAAGTGTAAGTTGAGCTTACAAAATGCCACCACACTATCTCATCCTAATGCAGATTCGTCTATAGCCATCATGACAGATGCTTCGAATAGATGTGTATGGGCCGTACTGCAGCAAAAGGTAAGTGATGAATGGTACTTTTCAAAAAAAATTGAGTACTGCAGAGTAAAAGTATGCTTAAAGTATGCCTATGATAGGGAATTATTGACAATATTTTTAGCTATTAGGCATTTCCGTAACTTATTTGAGAGACAACAGTTAGTTATTTTTACAGACCACAAGCCATTGATTCATGCTTTTAAGAAATTAGATAGCAACAAAGACACCTCGACGAACAAGGCAGTTATTATTCATGAGCGAATTCTCAACAGACATCCGATATGTAGAAGGTAAGAGCAACATCGTAGCTCATGCGTCGGAACGATTTCCTGTCCCATAGTACTCGATTACCCCAAACTTGCTGAGAAACACGACGACTTCATTGCACATACAACATATTCTGACACCGTCAGCAATGTAAGTATTAAAAGTATTTTTTGCCTATCATTAATAATTTGATATATTATGAAACTTCGACGAAATATGCCGGTTGAGGGAGGTGGCTGATGGCCAACAATGAGGGAGGCCGGACGGTGGTCGGATCCTAGATCGTCTAGTCTCGATTGCCCTGAGGTTGAGGGAAACTACTGTAACTGGCGCAAAGTCTAGCACGTCAGGAGCGTGGTCGGTGTTGTCGGGATAGTGAGTAACACCGAGGGGACTGTGGACGGTACGATCAGGAGACTGCGTGATATCAAGCAGTATCTTGCCACTCTGAGAAGTAGTACGGCAGGTCCATTCAGTATGCTTGGAGTTAAAATCTCCAAACATAATGACTGAGTTGACTAATGAAAGGATAGCCTCAAAATTTTTTTGAGGGTGAGGGTTCCACTAGGAATATAGCAGGAGGCTATGACGATGGACTAATGTCCAGTCAAGGCTAACCTGCATATCGTCGCTTCCATGTTGGTGAGCTGCAGAGTAGGGATGTGGGAGTAATGAAGTGTCTTCTTGTAGTAAATGGCAGTACCACAGGTCTGCCGTTACGGAGAAGAGAATACTTGTGGATGGAAAGGCCTTTGATGTTCTTAGTTTTGAGATTAGTTTCCTGTAGGAGGAGGAGGTCGGCTTCGCGATCTCGAAGGAAGAGCTTAAGCTCGGGCAGGTTACTTCGCAACCCGCGAATACTAAAAGACACAAGCGATAAACCCTTAGGCTTAATACGACCGTGAGACTTGGGGAGAGCAAAGTGCTCTGTCATTGTAAAGTTAAATTAAATTAAAATAACTTAACTTACAAAGAGCACAAAAGATTGTAGTGCTCAGCAAGAGCAAGGAGACGGTCATGAGGGGACCGAGCAGCACGCAGTTTGTGCGTCGCCTCTATTCACACTGTCGCTATATATACTCACACCCGCCGGTAAAGACTGCAAAAAAATACGTTGCGATATGCGTTTTTCGTACGTTCTATAGACGATGTTCCTGATTAACTTTAGTCCAACTTATTAATTGAATTAATGATAACAAAATGCCATAAACAACAAAAAGAAATCAGTCCGGTTTCGCTAATTTGTGACATTGACGACTAGACGCGTTCTGAGAGGCTTCTTCATAATTATTTTCGATTATGTTTCTTAATATTTTTGTATAAAATATTTACTTACATGCTAGTCAAACATGAGTAGTAACCATTTTTAAAATTTTCATTTATCTGTCTGTCCGAGCAATTCTTTAGAATGGCTGAACCAATTGTAATATAACTTCACGAAAAAATAGAGTAATACCAGAACTCTTACAGAATACCAGCGTAAAACAGCAGCTTAAATCTGCTGTATTCCGTTTGATGGGTCTATCCGTTTATTTGTCGGGAGAAACAGAGGCCCTTTTTACTGGTAACAAGGCATTATAACTTAGACCTCAGGAGTGACAACTACATTAATCGAGGCTAGAATGTAGGTGTATATGGGTGGGCCTTTCCGACTGGAAGGCAGTCAGTATAATGACAGGTAAAAACACAAATTTAGTCCGCAGTTGTGACAATATACGAGGGGCGTTCAATGTATTCTGGGTATGAGGGTGATTTTCTGATAATGTCGGTAATTTAAAAAAAATCACACAATCACAACTAAGGACACTACGAGAGGCACACTGAAATAATCGGAAATATGAAAAACCACATTCACGGTATAGCTAAATTGTATTTTATTGTTTTTCGAAGTATTCTCCGTTCAACTTAATGCACTTTCCATTCGTGCTAACCAATCATTAAAACAGTAATTCCAGTCTGAAGTTGATGTTGACAAAATGGCTGATTTGTATGCTTCCACAGCTGCTTCGGGATCTTCAAACCATTGACCGCGTAATAAATCTTTTATTCTAGGGAATGTAAAGGAATCGTTTGGGCTCAGGTCAGGACTGTACGGAGGATGGCTCATCAGTTCAACGTTTTCCTGCTTCAAAAAATAATTTGTCTTCCGAGCCATATAGGAGCTCGCATAATCGTGATGTAAGATGATGCGACGTTTCGGGTTATTTCTTCAGAGTTCGGCTATCATTTCTGGCAAACAAACCTGCAGAAGAAACAGTGCTGAGCGATACACGACCGCGTCGGAACTCGGCATACCAGCGGTATATTGTCGATTGACTCGGTGCTTCAACATCATAAATCGAAACTAGTTCGCTGAGACATTTATCTTGAGATAAGCCGCGACAAAAATTGTGATAAATTATGGCACGGAAATTTTCACGTGTGAGCTCCATTTCTGTTAACGACGTGTCAACTTTAAACCAACATAGTTTTTGTTTTTAAACATTTTTTTTAATTGTTTAAATGTCATTAAGATTCTAAGAGGTCAGTATTCAAATTCTAAAAAAGGTTTTATTGTAACTCAATCCGAAATATTCTATTCCCAAACATTTCAGTGCCCCTCGTACTTGAGGGCACTAATATGAAATTTCATCTTGGTAACTTCATTACTTCTTAATATAACCTTCAGTCATAGACGACGTGAATGACTGACTCGACAATTTTGAAAAAAATCGAACACCGTGCGGTGATTAAATTACTCACTAAACAAGTAAATACTAAAAAACCATCCATGAAGAAATGGTGGCCGTTTACTAAGACTGCTCCTTCAATTTCTACCGTACAGAAATAGTCAAGTGAATTAAAAAGAGGCAGTGAAAGCATCGAAGATGGCCCAATCACAGCGGCTACAGAAGAAAATGTGAACATTTTATCTAATATATAAAAATTAATTTTTGAATGTTGGTATTTTATGCGCTGCCATACCGTTTATCAGATTGCGGGGAAAACTTTGTCAACTTATTGCTTGCACTGGTGTAAACGTTATAGGCATAGTACAATTAACTTACAGTAGGTGGGGCTCGCATCATACCGACTTTATTTGCAATTTATATATCATTCAACTTCAATGAATGTATATCATTCCTAACTAAGCAATATAATTCAAGCTATATTATTTCTTCTGCGGCAGCAACGCGCCGGGTACCAGCTAGTATTCTATAAAATGTTGGTGTTACCGAACTCTGATAAATTTAGAACTACAATTTAAAAATAAAAGAAAGCTATAGTACAGGCATGTTTTTTAATTCATTCAAACATAACAGAGGTTGTATCTTAGTTTGAACACACTTTCTTGACTATATGTCTACTATTCCTTCTTTTACATGAGTCCATTGAAAATTTACACAGAGCCTTCTTAGGATATGACACTTAAAATATAAAATCCATTCATATCGTGATTAAACTGAAGTGTGCTTCCTTTTGGCAGTGGGTCGGTCAAAGATCTGTTTCATTCCGCCTCGGAAGTTTGCCAACCTTGCAGCCGCACCCTCGTTGTTCCAAGCAGAGTCAAATTCCGTAGTATCTTGATCCACCAAATGTGTGTACTTCGTCCGACCGGATCGGCCAAATTTCTTCACTTGCATCACCTATAAACATAATGTTAACTTTGACCAAGATTGCACTGATTGACAATAATTTCAGACTCAATACATTATATAGTTTTATACCGTATAATATATACACCAATATTGTCTATGCTAGCAGGTAGCAGATATGCAGGTAACATTAGAAAAACCACCTTTTATTGCATTACTGATTAATAAATGTAACTTGAATTTTCTACTTTTCAAACTATATTTCATTGGTTTTTTGTTTTTATTACGTATTATAAAAAAATGTATTCCTTTAATTTTGTTTTAATAGAATTTCAAAAGTAAAAAAAAAAACCTATAATGCTAAAGTAAAAAAAAATTCATTCAGTTGTCACTCTACCAAACCTGCTGAATGGCAACTCAACCAACTTAATTTATCATCAAATCTGGTTGAAATTTATATAATCACATACGAAATTATATTCCTTCAACAAAAAAAAAATCAATAAACTAACCCCAGAGATATTTAATGAATAACAAACAATATGGTCCAATTGATACCCTTCTCGTTTCTACAAGTTGGTTAAACTTGTATATAACACGTGAGGACAGACATTTACATTACTTTTATTTTTTTATTTTTTTTTTTATAGGATAGGGTGACAGACGAGCACACAGTCCACCTGATGGTAAGTGGTTGCTGTGGCCCATAGACATCTCCATTTATCCTCGTTTACGAATCAAAATGCAGATGCGTTGTCGCCCGTGAGGACTAAGATGGAATGCCTCTTTTCCAGTAAAAAGGGTCTCCGGTTCTCTACACTCACCATACGAAACACAGCAGTGTTAAGCTGCTATTTTACACTGGTATTCTGTGAGACCGTGGTCCTTCCCCGGTCGAGCCGACCCATTCGTGCTACAACTATACTTCTAATATAGCTGCAGCATGGCTCTACCACCTGTAACCCTAATATAATTCTTAGTGTGTATTAGGTTTTAATTTTATACGAACCTTTGGCAGAACAGTCTTATCGAAATGATCGTCCAATGTTGGTCCAGAGAAGTCTTGTTTATAAACATCATCTTCTTTGTCCAAGTAAAAAGCACCTCTGCAATATAATGGTACAAGTTTTATTTATTTAGTTTCAAAACTTACAACTTTCATTAAAGATAAGCCTTAATTCAACATACTTTGTGGCGTTCCTTGCGGGAGGCCTATGTTCATCAGTGGACTTGTGAAGGGTTGTAATGATGATAAATGATGAATGCAGAAGTTTATTATAAGCATAAAAATCTTAACTGTACCATATTAGAAGTAGTGCCTTCTGCACAAATTAATTTAGAGGCAAACAGACCCGATTCATTAGCTATATGGTTGAGATAACGGAGTATCCGCATCAAAGACGTCCGCTGCAACAGCTTGGTGCGAGCACATGGCACAGACAGTTAAGTTATTGCAGTTGTAGATATAGCAAAAAACCTTTTCTTTGCATTTTAAAATTTACCACTACAGCAATTTCTGCTGTATTATAGTTTTACAAGGAATTAAACCCATAATTGCTAGTGCCGCAGGCAAACGGATTAGTTTGTTTTCCCAAACCGTAGTATTTTATGGGAGAAACTAACCAGCTGACTGAGCTCCTGTGTTTGAGCTTTAAACATTTAACGACGACAAATGACTTCAACAGCCACCATCTATTGGATGTCACAAGGTATTTCTATACAATTAGTTTGTTCATACAAATATTATTGATACGATTCAGTTTATGCAACAACTCTTTGTTCATTACTTGGTGTTATGTCGAATTAATGGTCTATTCAAACGTTGGCAGCATCGGACATCTGTATTTACCACTGTGTTACAGCATATAAGTATGGAAAAGTTAGGTATGAAAAAGAAGTATAAATGTAAACTGAGGGAAAATATTTGTGGTTTGGATGAATTGTGTATGAATGATTTGAACTTGGAGACTGTGTGGGATAATGTTAAGAAAGGTTTAGTAGATGCAGCTAACAAAGTATGTGCTATAAGTAAGAAAAAAATTTAAAAGAAAAATAATATTGTTGCGCGTCACAATTAATACATGGTAAATGGCGACACTAGTTACCACTAGCGCCCTCTAGTATCGAGTAGCAGAACTAGAAGAGTTAAGAACATTCTAAAAATTTCCGTATAAGAACTTTCTACAACTATCGACACCTAGTCAATCGGGACTGATATGTACTCGAACATTCTAGAAGTTTCTACATTAGAAGTTTCTGGAAACTACCTGAGGCCCTATATAAGGCTGGTATAGACCGCGACCGGGGAGAATTGAATTGGCGATACAAGCAAATACTTCGAAGCGATACAACTGCGAACTAAAGTGATCAGTAGTACAATTGTGTTTTATTATTAGTGTAATTAGTCTTCTGTTATTAAAGTGTCAATTTTGGTAATTCAATCGGCAGTTTTTAATTGTCTCGAACCCCAAGCTCGTAACAATATTATGTTATGGTGGAATAATTAGGTATGGATGGAAGTATTTACTATTTATCGAAGCTGGTAATTCTGATGCAATTAAAAGAAATTAGTCTTTAGAGAGTAAAAGAAGTATTTTAAAATGAAAATGCAAGAACAAATGGATAAGAAAAATAGAAGAATATCTGATAACTTCCAGACCAAATATTAAAATGTTCTGGAAACCCGGTAAGAACTGCTAGGAGAAATTCAAAACACTCTAGAATGAATTCTACTCAGACAAGAATGGCTGTATTTTGAATGAGGAAGTTTCGAGTTTAATGAGATGGAAGGAATACTTTGATAGCGTGTTTATGAGGGAAGAGACATTTGAATTATATGAACTAGAAATTCCGAAAGAAGAGGAATGAGGTAGTGAAATAAGTATAGATGATATAATGAAAGCTATGTAAAGCATCAAAGTAGGTATTGCAACCACGTATAATAGAGTTTCACTCGAAATGCTAAGGGCTGGAGAGAGAGTGGTGGCAGGCCTACTGTACACTTTATTTAATTTATGTTGGGAACTAAAGAGAGTACCGGGAGACTGTTGTAAAGCTGTTATAGTCCCAATGTATAAAAGAAAAGAGTCACAGCAGGACTGTAAAACCTACAGTGGCATCAGCCTGCTTAGCATTGGGGGAAAACTGTATAGTTTTCCTAAGCAGGCTGATGCCACTGTAGTACCTTAGCATACACTAAGGTGTTGATAAAAAGTGTTGTTGGTAAAGAAATCGACAGAAAATTTGGGATTTGGTAAGCTGGATTTAGAAATTGAGTGGGATTTATTCTATAAATATAGATTTTTATTCTATAAATATAGATTTGTTCTATAAATGCTGTAGAAATGCAGTCATAAAGTAGTATGTTAGGGCTGAAACTGAATGACAATGTGATAAATTGTGTGATAAGAGAAGAATAGTTTGCAAGATGATGTTTTGACCAGGATTAAAAAAGAAATGCTTCGGTGCTTTGATCATGGAAAACAATCAATTAGGAAAGCGACAAAGCAAATTTATGTTGCAGAAGTAAACAGCAAAGTCCGCAAGGGATGCCCTAGACAAAAGTTTATCAAACCAATTGGCGATATATTGAAGATGGGCTATATTAAGAGGATACCTAACCGACGAGCAAGTATAAGGATGTAAAGGAGGCGAGAGTTGTGTGTCAGGATGTGCCAAATGTAAGTCTGTAGTCTCTGCCTACCCTCTGGGTAACATTCCTTAGTGTTTATGAATTTGTAAGTATTATGTCTCATTGAAATTGTTATGAAATTGAAGCCTATAGTAAAAAAGCTAACAGCCTATATATGCATATAGTATGTCCTACTGTTAGGCACAAACCTATTCTCATTTCTGAGAGAATTTAGGGGAAGAAAGAATCCGCTGCTATCCTAATACATGTTGGCGGACTCCACATGCTCTCATTTTTTTCATTTCTCAAACATTTTGGTTTTCTCACGACTTTTGCCTTGACCACAGAGTATGCAGTAAATCATCACTTAAAATTGCAATATAATATTTCATTCGTGCGGGCGGGAGGTTCGCTCGCGTAGTATAAAAATTTATGGATTATTGCTGAGTAACCAGACACCTTCAATACCATTTATACTTAAAATTAATCTCATACCTGTGATAGTACTTCTGAAGAAACTTGTACTTGCCCTTAAGAGATTTATTTGTCACTATCTTAGGGTTAATACGTTGTTCGACGCGCCGTTCTTCTTCTGTCATGTTGCGCATTCGCTCTATTGCCAGCAACTCCTTCTCAATGCTAAAATAAAAAGATAAGTATTTTGTACTGGATTTGTTATTTTCTGTTTAACAAGTAGCTATTTAGTACAGTATAATGTACAAATATAAAGTATTTTTATTCAAATCAAAACTATTTATTTTATGATTTAAGTTTCATGTAATAAGCATTCACCATTCAGTTTCTTTTATTTAAATTCCTATGGCAAAGATTAAATAGAAGATAAATGTCAATTAAATAAGTAAAAAAAAATTAAGACGTATAAAATATTAAACTTACGCCTCCCTTTCCTCCTTATCCCGTTTTATCCTTTTCATTTCACGCAGTTTCCACGCTTCGTATTCTAGCTCATCATTCTCGTCATCAGTGCAAACATCGTTTATATTACCCTCTTTGTGATCTGTCTGAAAAAGTATAACATTAAAAAAAAAAATAATTTCATTTATAAAGTTATAAATAATTGAAAATGTTTAAACCTGTGCATTCCTTTGTTCAGATCTTATGGTTTCCTCTACTAATTTTAAGGCTTCCCTACGTCTTTCCTCCTTCTCTTTTCTCGCTTCTGATTCTTCTTTTTTCTGCTGTTTCATTTTCCGCTCTTTTTCCGCAACGGTCATCCTTTCTGATGCTCTAACAAATACAGGTTTCACCCTCGGACCTATAACATTATAATTAGATCGCATGATATTTTAACCATATTTATGAAGATGTCTATTTCGAGCTCTTCTCTTTTAGACGACACTAGTCTATATTACGTAAATCAGACCCAATGAGTAGCTCTCTTTTAGTGTGGTCTAACATGCAAATTGGAAACAAACTTAAATGCAAAACTAGAAGCACACAAAAATACATTTAAACATCCAAACCCAAAAAATAATAATTTGAAGCTTCAAAACTTCACTCAGTCTGAGAATCACAATTCGCAAACTTAAAACTTAATTCAATTGTTTATGGGGTGAAATTAAAATCATTGGAATCCACCTATTATTCATCTATTATAAATCATCTATTATTATGCTCATATTAAGGAATATTTTAAAGTAAATTAAAATATTCCGATGATATCCCAGATGTCAGTCCGAGCGAGATTAGAATGACTCTCCAGCACCTTAAAGACGGCAAGTCCCCGGGCGAGGATGGAATTACAGTGTAGCTTCTGAGAGCGGGTGAAAACCGGTACTTAGTCCTTCAGAAGCTCTTTAATTTCCATTGTATATGTACTAAAGCTTTAGATTTTCATAATTTTTACCTGTATCTTCTTCACTGTCTGTATATTCTGTGTCTGAAGAATCACTCTCCTCCTTATCACCATCTAACATTTCCTCATCTTCATCTCTACCCAAAACTTCTTTCTCTGCTTCTCTATAAATTATAAATAAAAACAATATGTGGCTGAAATCATTCTGAATCAGTTTTCATAATTGCATAAATAAAATTGCAAATAAAACTGCTGGATGTAAAAATTTAAAGATTTACTTTGTCTTAACTGTGCCAAGTCTAATTTTTTTTATAGGATAGCACCTGATGTTAAGTGACTACCGCCGCCCATGAACAACTGCAACACCAGGGAGGGAATTGCAGATGCGTTGCCGGCCTTTTAAAAAGGAGTAGACTCTTTTCTTGAAGGTCCCTAAGTCGTATCGGTCCGGAAAAATCGCTGATGGTAATCGATTCCACAAGGAAGTCGTGCGAGGAAGAAAACATCTTCTAAATTGCACAGTGGTGGACCGCCAATCGTCCAGATGGTGTGGATGGTATCGGGAGTTCTGCCGCGATGTGCGTTCGTGAAATTTGGCAGCTAGGATTAATCCGAACAATTCCTCAGAGCACTCCCTGTGGTAGATGCGAAAGAAAATGCAAAGGGAAGCAACATCTCTTCGCAGTGCCAATGAATCGAGCCGATAGGAAAGGACTCGGTCGTCGACGATTCGAGCTGCTCTGCGCTGGATGCGGTCAAGTGGAAGGAGCTGGCACTGGGGAGCCCCTGCCTAGAGATGGGAACAGTATTCCATGTGAGGCCGAACCTGCGCCTTGTAAAGTTGCAGGCGGTGTGCCGGCATGAAATACTGTCCCGCTCTGCTGAGCACGCCAAGCTTTTATGAGGCCAGTAATAGGCTTGTAGTCGGAGCATGCACCGTCTACAACGACCTTGATGCACCAATCTGCAAGGAAGCTGGTGACCCAATTGCACAATTAATTTACTAACCCTGAGACTTTTTCAGATTGATTAAAAATAAAAAGATGTGAATATTATTTTTGTCTAATTATCATTTTATATTAAAGCAAAAATAATAATTACAACCATTTAACAATGAAATACACTTGACACAAAGTTAAACAAAGTTTTGCCCAATATGAGCAAATAAATCAAATCCATGGCCAATGGTGATATATCCAAGGGTTTTTAAATTTAACAACCCTCATTACCACACATTATAATGCACGTGATTGTCATCATCATAATTATATTAAGTTACACAGATAAAATTTACAAGTAATCATAAAGTACCTGGCAGCCAATTTAGCTTTTAAGGCTTGTCGCCGTTTCTCTATTTCCTCTTCGTCTAAATCATCTTCACTTTCGGAACTATGCCGTGCTTCTTCGGAACTTGACTCAGACTCTGGTTCTGGTTCTGCATCAATAATTTCAGGTTTATGTTCCGCACGACGGTTAGGTGAACGCGTTGCCATACGCAGACGGCGTAAGCGGGGATCGTCAATCTGAGATTATAAATTCAAACATTAAACAAACTACAACAAAATTTATTTTTTCCTATCATAAATTAAACTGAATTTACTAAAATATTTTTTTTTTATTATTATATTGACAGGCAGGCAGTTGAGAGAAATGATAATGCCTGTATCCTCTTTTTGTCCACTACTTATTCTTTTTGCAGTTCAGAAAGTGATTATCTAATCTATTTTGAATTGGTTCACATTTTGAGCTGAGACTACGTTCTCTGGAAGCTTATTCTACTTGGTGACTACACGGTTACAAATGAAGTGCTTGTGGGGGTTGCTGTTTGAAAAGCTGGTATATAGCTTAAGATGGTGGCCCCTGAGGTGAGAGTTTTCATTACGAATAAACAATTTGTCAAACTCTTCAATGTCGTAATACCCATTTAAGATCTTAAAGGTCTCAATTAGATATCCTCAGTCCCTGCGGCTTTTTAATATTGTAAGTTTTAAAACTTTCAAACGTTCTTAATAAGACTGCCGTTTCAATTGCCGTGATACTTTAGTGAAGCTACACTGTACTTTTTTAAAAGCTTCAGTGTCCTTGATACCATCTGCAATAGGTTGGGACCTATTGCAGATGGTAACATTATTTTAGTAAATTCTTATTTTAGTAAATTATTTTATCTCTATATATAATATAATCTATATATATAATCTATTTTTGTAAATTATAGGATCTCAAACAGATGGTGGGCCATCTGCTTGGGATCCTATAATTAATAAAATTAATTCTAAACCCAGGCATACCACTTTAAGATTTCAAGACACTGTAACCTCATTCTGTGTATCGGACCAAAAATTAATATTCAAAAACTGAAGGTAGCCGGGCTTACTATGACATTGGGATGTCAAGCACCTCAGTCACCCCTGTAGCCATAGGTGCTGTACAATACCCGAAACATCGGGAGTTAGGAAGTAAAATAAAACCCGATAAAATCTGTAAAATTAGTTTCACTAAATACTCTCTCTTTTTATAGGTGAGGGTGACAAACAAACACACAGTCCACCTGATGATAAGTGGTTGCTGTGACCCATACACATCTAAATCTATCCTCAGTAAAGACTCAAAATGCAGATGTGTTTTCACCCTTGAGGACTAAGATGGAATGCCTCTTTTCCAATAAAAAGAGTCTCCGGTTCTCTACACTCACCATACAAAACACAGCAGTATTAAGCTGCTATTTTACACTGGTATTCTTTGAGAGTGTGGTCCTTCCACCGTTGAGCTGACCCATTCGTGCTACAACTATACTACTCATACAGCTGCAGCATGGCTATGCCATGCTGGCTCTACCATGTATATTAAGTTACATAGACAAAATCGTTCACTTCTACCACATATCTTAGTCAAAACTACTTTTACCCAATATATTTCAGTCAAAACCTCTTTTAACCACTACTTTTTCACTTCTATAGTCAAAACTGATTTTGACTGTTGTAATTTTGACTAAAAATAGTTTTAACTGTAACATTAACATAATATATATTTTCTAACTAATGCAATATTCATTATTTTTAATTTTAATTGCTTTGTACAATAATAAGTATATTTATATTTTATAATACCCCAACACAACTAGCAACAAATTGTAACATGTGAAATGCGTATGCTAATGTCAAACGAAAGGGAATAATTGTTAAAAAACCGTTATTTTCTTTTTAATTTCCTTGAAAAGTATTAGTTTCTACAAGCTGTCCTTACATGTATGGAAAAAAATTGAGTGCTTTTTTGGGTAGTTAATAATAAAGGTTTCTTTGTGCAATTACTCAACTACAAAATTTTAAAACAAAATATAAAATAAAATGTACTTAAAAGTAACTTTATTTCTACTAACCTCTTTTTCAGAATCACTGTGTTCTTCTTCATTTTTAAGCCCTACTTGACCGATTTGTAGTCTTCGTTCTGGTTTTTGTTGCTCTATAAAGTCCTCTCCGTCTGATTCTTCAGATGAAGAAACACCTTGTGCATAATCGGGTTTTTTTCCTGATATATATCTTTGCACTTTCACCTTTTGCATAGATATTTCACCTGTAAAAATTAAATTAACAGAATATGTAAATTATAACTAGCAATTCAATAGTTGTTACAGGCTTGTTATAACAACATTTTATCTTTATCCTGAGTAATATGATTGTGTGTGTGTCAACAATAACTTATAAATGATAGCTAAATACCACATTTTACCACAGTTTACGAACCTTTTTCATTTCGAATTGGTACTGCTCCTGCTGTACTTTGAATGCCAGTAGGTTGAGCTGGTAGGACGTTCATATTCATGTTGTATAAAACGAGAATAGTATATTTCGCGATTTACGCTAAGTGCTCTAACGGTTGTTACTTTATCAATTTTAAATAGTAGTTTATATTAAACCACTTTCTTATTACCATATACCATAAAAACTTATTTGTGTACAATATACACTTCAGGTACACTCTTATCTATGACCACATACTAGCTTGCTACATATATATTTATCTATGCCACATACTATATAGAAACACCAAAGAGAATATAACCACTACGTTTAAGAGGCGGGACTTCCATAGCCGCCTAAGGGTATTAGTGTTCTGTGTTCCATAGTAAAAGCTTCCCTATATATAATGTACTCTGTGGTAAAAGCTAAAAGTATAAAAATAAAAATAAAATATAAATGCATGTAAGTTATACGCCAAATTACTCTACCAACATCAAGATATGACATTTAGTTTTGACAAACAGTGTTGACAACATTGAAGAATTACAATAGTGCTGAAATGTCTATCCTCGAATAATTTTATCGATATAACCTTTATCGATATATTGTTTATCGATATTTTTACATAATAAAAGTTAGATCTCTATACTGAATTATTTATTATAAATAATTTTTTAATGTCGGAATTGAGTAAAAATGCCAATAAGGATAAGTAATCAATGTATTTTACACACAGCTAATTGTAATTATATCTCTACAATTAGGTACAAAAATATGTATGAAATATAAAATAAAATAACGCACTATTATACTAGTAATTAATTAAATAAAAAATAAATCACGACTCCGTAGCGCAGTGGCTAAGCGTTTGGCTGCGGCATTGCAGGATCGAGGCTTTGTCCCTGCACTGAACAATTGTTGCTATCCTATAAAATAAATAGTCTGCGTCTGTATGCTTGTTTTCAACGTTTGTTTTTTTTTTAAGGGTAATATTTACTTTTTTAACACTGATTGGATTAAATTGCTTTTATGTGTAACAAATACTATGTACAAATCGCTAGGCTTCTACACAGAGGTACCTATGTACATACTATTCGCAAAGATCGTTTAGTAATTGTAGCTTTCAAAATGAGTGCTCATTATAGCTAATGTTTATAGATGAATCTATAAAAAAATACTTAATATTAAAATAACTTTGAGTTTATTTATATAATCGAATTCTTACCAAAGTGTTACTTTAGAGGGATATTATTTTTGCTACATATAAATGAAACCTAATTAACATACACATAATTGTGGAAGTTTAAATTAAAACCACTGATGAAATAACAGTTCATTTTAGTTGGGTTCAAGAGCAATGTTTGCCACAAATATGTTTTAACATGTGAATCTTTTCAATTGCTGCATGTGTCAGCTATTTCACTCAATGCTTGCATCTGAAAAAAAATATATATATAAAATCACATTTGTATTGAACAAATAGAATGTTAGCAGTCACAATTGACTGTGTAGTTTCTAAGTATAGTTCGTTTCGGATTGCCATACCATCGAACTATCAGATTTAGGAAATAGTATGTTTGTATTTGTGTACACAATCGTACACGATAAAAACCTGTCCTACATAGATGGCTACTCCAAAAATGTACTCGCGTTAAATATCATATTAATGTTAAAGTTGAAATCACCACATACCTTTCATCATCTAAGGGAAATATTGCTACAAATCTCTACAAATAGCCTTTTCTTATTATCATTTTTTCCGATTCTTGCACCATTTAATTGGAAAGTTTTATAATGCATATTTAATTTTTTAACAGTTCTGTAAATGAACAACGGCTACTATAGCAAAATTAAAAGCAATCTTAATAAATAAAATTTATTCAAATATAATTGTTTGATGTGACATTTGAACCTATTTGATTTGACAATGTCGTTAATAGAGATTTTACGAAAAGCAGAAAGAAGAGATAACCGTCATTAAAATTTGACCCCTGTAGTACATATAATTTTTACAATGGAAGTTGCGCCAGCCTGAGAAACACTACGCGTTTCTATTAGTGTTCCTTAAACATCGATAGACTATCGATTAATCGATAGTGTTTGCACTATCGATTCTATCGATAGTCTAGTTAAACTATCGATTGCCATCCTTATTGTAATTTTTGTCTATAGTAGATGTCTCGCTTTAGTCTAAGGCCAGAGAAATCCCTGTAAATAAACTGTGTGTGAATAGCTAATTAATATGTGTAACGCTGACGTAAGTCACTATTTGTGCGAGTGCTAGAACGGGCGGTTGATCCTGCGTTTTATAGTTTACTGATTTGTTTTGTATTTGACTTCATAATGAATCGAAAATTTATCCTAAAAATCAATCATTAATGTGGAGTTATTTCTCAATAGTGGACAGTAATAGTCCGTTTGTAAAGTGTAACTTTTATAATCAAGAATATAAGCATTTAGGAAATACGACCAATCTAAGAGATCACTTGAAAGAAAACATGCCGATAAAATAGATATGTTAGAATCGGAAGAGGGATCATCGTCTGAACATCAAGTTCAAAATGAAGTGCAACCAAAATAAAATCTAGAAGTTCTTTTAAAAATTATTTTAATAGAAAGCAGTTGGTGAAGACAAAGCCTGTTGTGACTTTCCTTCACAGTTCTACACTAGCCAGTGACAAATTGCGTATTTCTCAAAGACGAGCAAACAAAAAAGTGCAATAATTACTTATTGTTATTATTATTTGTGAATCCTGCTCAAAACAATCGATAGTCTATCGATATATCGATTGTCTTATTAGAAACTATCGATTACTATCGAATACTTCAACAATCGATGTTTAATGAACACTAGTTTCTATGACTTCAGGTATCCGCAACCTATCCTATACACTCTTATCTATGACCTATCCAAAATATACTCTGTGAACCTATCCATCAAACACACAGACTTATTAGTACACAGAACACAATCACTCTCTACCACGAGAAGAACGCCAACTTCATACTAAAAAACGGAAACACGCGTTTATGAGTGTATACTAAAAGCGCTACGGTGGACGCCTTTGTATTCTGTATTCATCTTTGTATTCTGTAACTTTAGACTTTTTATTTAAGGCATACTCAAGCCTCACAAACCTATGGGTTAAAATCCTATACATTTGAGAGGTTGCACCAAAATTACTCGAATATACTTGAGATTAGTATGTGGGATAAAATAAAAGTATAAATAAGTATAGAGTCACCCGAGGCAAGTGTGACATAAATTAATTAAAATTAAAATGAACATTTAAATACTTCTACTCTGTAAGGGTTTAACATACATAATTTCATTTCAAAACATCAATTATTAATTTGTTGTTTGTTTGATAAAGCATTTTATTATCTACAAGTAGCATTTTGTAATTTGAGGTAATTAAAATTAATTAAGGTGGAAGACTGTCACACTTACCCCACCAATGAGGCAAGTGTGACAGTACGCTTCTTTTTGTAGTTACTTTATTATGATCTGTAGTTTTCGAGAAAATTGATGAGATGACACTAATGTCAATATATTTTATGATCTATTTGAACGATTTGAACATATATTTTTGTGTAACAATGGATTTTTCTACGCATGGGGTAAGTGTGACCGTTTTTAACCGATATAGTGATGTGCCTATAAATGGATTTATGTCACACTTGGATGTTTTTAAAGTGTTATAAAAACAATGCTAAGTGAAAAATAACTTTAACTCCGCTTAGTAGCAAAATATGGGAAAAATGTATTTTTGGGTATGCGTAGTTTTAGAAGGGTAATATTGTTTTTGTTACCCTTTATAATAACATTTAAGTTAAGGTGTGTTGAATGGTCGTCATATATTACTACAACTTGTGGGTCTGATCTACATATTTCCGGGATCAGTACATTTGAAAAGTAACTTTCGAAGACTGAAGCAATCCAACCCTTTGTCGAAGCGGCAAATGCCGAATTAATGGAATTATCATCAGGCAACCATGTATTCCAAAGATTTGTTAAGTATAATTATAAAAGTAAATACTTAAATATAAATACATACTTTTTTGAAAGTCAGTTAAAACAATATGTTGTCCCATCACTAGTTACGATATTCTCATACAAGATGATCGGGTTAAGCGTGACACTGTCACACTTACCCTGATGTTAGATATCAGATGAGGTAAGTGTAACGGTATCCGTATTTCAAGGAATAGTGGATTTCAGGTCACATAAACATATTACACTATAAATACCAATATTATTCTTTATCACTCACCTTGTATCTTGTTTAAAATAACTTAATGAAATATCGAAACACTTAAAAACTTTGCCTCTTAAAGAAGCGCGGGCTTTCGCCAGTTGAGTAGTTTAAAAAAAATGACGTCTGTCGATAAAATAGTTGAAGATATGTACTTAACTGTCGGTATAGTCAATAGCATAAAAGTTCCTGCGTTGTTCAAGAAATGGCATTTAACCAAAAATACGTATTTATGCCGCATAATTTGCATTTGTCACACTTGCCCCACTGTCACACTTGTCTCAGTCTACCTAAGTTATGTAATTTTATTTTCTGGAAGACATTGTTTCATAAACTATATATTATTATTGATGATTTTTATTGCCTTTGCACATAATATTTTCACGCTTGTTATTGATATATAACACATGTTATTGTCAGAGAGTTATTCTTCACAGAACATTAACGTAAATTTTAATCTGAAAAATTCCCATGATGAAAATCTAACTCAGCCCAAATACGTGATCTGAAACAAATACAATTCGAGTCAATATAGTAATAATCCCTACAAATAACGGTCAATAAATTCAAAATGTTTATAAACTTACCACAATATTGTCATAAGTTTTTATTTTCCTATTATAGGAAACCTGCAGAAAGTGATCAGACGATTTTGTGCTTTAACCAAGGCGACCCCTATCACGCTATCCGTGAATTTTTGCAACATCAGGGGACTTCATTCCAACCTTAACGCTGTCCACTACCATCTAGAGACGGCGTAGCCGGCCTTGCTCTTTTCAACCGAGACTCAGGTGTCCTCTCCGGCTGATACTTCATATCTCTCCTA